TGTGAACTAAAATCCTATGAACCCAGTTCACTACCGGGACACTTGACAGTAATGAATGAGCATATCCCTTTATCTTGATCTTATAGGTCTTCTGAACTATTAAGTAATAAAACCATTAGGAAGCAACTTCACTCCAGCATTAATATACTTACAATCAGTTTGAGAAAAAATATCTAAGGTACTTTCTTCTTCACGTTCTTCAAATGCATTTCCTTAAACTTTCAGTTACAGTAAGTTTAGTTTACTCTAGAATAATGTCTGCTTAGATACTAAGCACAAGCACGGTGCAATCTGTATGAAAAACCCGTGAAATTTTTTTTAATCAGGAAAGAATTTTCCTGGCAACGGGCTTAATTCACTCACTCAACGCCACTCTTCTTCATAAGCAATGTCTAATCATCTAGTAGATTTCTTTGTTTATTTTGTCAGTTAAAAATGTAACATAGTATAGCCAAGGATCTGCTTGCAAATTTTAAAGTGACATTGCCTTTCTCTTTTTATTTAAAAACCATTTCAATAAAATGTAGGAGAAGATGGCTTCAAGTAGAAATTTAAGTGGCTTCACCCCTCAGGCAAGACCCTCATTCATTTATAACTCATGGGTGCTCTCTCCCGAGACCCTCAAGTACTTTGAAACAGTAATTTCATGTACGCTTCTAGAATTAAACTTTCAGATTCTTATAAACCCTGACACTTTCTTTTTGAACGATACATATAAAATGTTCAAATAAGACTGGAAGTAGCTCAACCTTTTGGATCAAATACTTTTTATGCTGCAAGTTCCATTTTATCCCCAGTATAGTATTTTCCCCCAAGTACCGCTGGGAATGATCTTCAAGTAGTGACCTGGAGAAGTCCCTGAGCACTGCACGGTGTGTCCCCAAATCCAAACGAACAAAAAATATGCACACATACTTATATACATTATATAGATATTATACATTTAATTTAACTTAGGTATCTCACATTTGTATGTTAGACAAAGAATACTGAAGATCACTGGAGGTGAGGGGCAAGTAACTTACAAATATATTCTCAGACTTTGCAGCAGAAACTCTGAACTTGAAGAGCCAATGTGATGGCATATTTAAAACATATAAAGATAAAGTCTGTCAACCAAAAACACAATATCCTGCAACAATTCTGAAGCGAAAGCAAGATACATGAAGAAATGGCCCAAAGGTTCATGGTTCAGGCTGCATCTACACTGCTTTCTCCTGCCCAAATTATACCCCTGGCTTCAGGAGGGTTCTGTAAGATTCACTGACAAAGAAAAAGACATGTCAGGCCTGGTTCACAGATGCTTCTGCTCAATAATCAGACACCACCCATAAGTAGTAAACTACAGTGCAACAGTATTTTTCTGGGATATACCTGAAAGATAAATATGAAGAGAATTTCTCCCCATGAGCAGTTCCTCTAGAAATGAACATATTTTAATTTACTTTTTTTTTAAATTTTTTTTTATTAGTGAAACACCATGAGGTACAGTTGTAGATTTACAATTTTTTGTGCTTGGGTTTGATTATACAATGATCAGATACCCATCCCTCCACCAGTGCCCATTTTCCACCACCATGGATAATATCCCCCCACCCCCATCCCCCTATCCCCCCTGCGTCTGTGGCAGGGCAATCCCCTGTGTTCTCTCTCTCCTTTTGGGTGTTGTGGTCTGCAAAAGAGGCATTGAGTGGCAAACATGTTCAGTCCATAGTCCACTTTCGACACACATCTCCCCTCCTGGGAGGATCCTCCAAACACCCTTTATTTGGTGTTCCCTTCTCTATCTGAGCTGCCCTTTCCTCTAGAATGCCCGACTGGCCACTAAGAGAATAAGTAACTACACATGCAGTTACATATATTAATTCATGAGCTTTATCAATGGTTTTGACTGGATTGGAGGGATTAGAAGGTACATAACTAGAATATTTGTTTTAAGACAATTCAATAAGTTGGTACATAAGTAGATTTTTCTGAAATGATTCCAAAATGCAAAGATAAATATCCTTTATGATTCTTTTCCAAGGAGTGACTTCAGCAAAGGAAAATTTTAATGAAAGAATATATCGAGTATTCTGTTCTATGGATCCCAGTCATCAGTTTTCCTCAGCCACCCCATCATACAACTAATTTTTCATGGGCTTAAGACCATAGATATCACTTGCCAAGACTGGTCTGACTAGAATCATCACAGAATGATCAATCTGCTGGAAGCAGAAAACAACACTGGCAACAGAATGTGGTGCCATTTCTCATGGGGACAATCCAGTTGGTAAGTAGATTAGAGCTTTCATTTTAGGAAGGGAAATGTTATGAATTCACAGAAATAATTTCTGTGGTACACTTGTCTTCTTTGGAAAATAGTTTTTCAGCCAAAAGTATTACCATCATCTAAGAACTTAGGCAATGTCCTCAAACTCAGGCTGGAATTCTATATTCAACTGACATCTCAGCCTTCCTGAGCAGTATGCCAGTTCTTTATTCATATCATATGTCAATCCTCACATAGAAAATACAAATAATTAATTTGTATTAATAATTAATTTGTATTACTTGATTTAAATATTTAAAACATTATAAATTTCAGGGTTCAATTCATTTGGATATGTTTCCACAAAATATCCAGTATCATCATTATTCAGGGTCATATAGCATTTGTTAAATCAATTTACCCTTGTATCTAGTTGTCTCTAGGACATTAGAATACATTAATGACGATCATTATACATAGTTTTATGCTGATCCTTTGGTAATAATTTCAAAAACGTGTTTTAGATATTTAGAAAAATGCAAAGAAAGCATGATATAGTTTTATATATATGATACAGCTTGTGGCAAAAGAGCTTGTGATAAAACTCTTCCTAGAAAAATATCAGTCTTTTGTTTCTAGAATCTCAAGGCATTCCTTGGGATTTTTTCCTGTAGATATGTTGTATATTTATATTTTATTCTTCCCTACTCCCCATTCATTTAAAAAATGTTAATTTGAGATAGGAAAAATGGTACAGCAAGTAAGGTATCCGTCTTGCACGCAGCAGACCCAGATTCCATCTCGTCACCACATGTGGTCCCTTCTGCCCACCAGAAGTGATTCCTGAGCACAGAACCCAGAGGAATCCCTGATCACTACCAGGTGTGCACCACTCCAAAAAAAATAAATAAACAAATTTGAATTCAAAATAAAAACAGACTGAAATGGAAGGTACAGACCTTGAAGACAAAAACCACTGAGATCTCCTCACTTTCAGCAACCGGCTCGTATATCTGTATGAATATTTCATATTTATTTTGAAGCATAGTCAGCTAGTATTATTGCTTATCTTCTCTTTACTACCCATGATGTACTTGTACCAGTAGAGCTGAACAATAAATTTCCCAGATGGCAAAACTTTCTGAAGAAAGTCTTGTGGCAGTAGACCTGGCCAGCAAACTCCTACTCTTCCTTGTGCAGCTCCGCAGAGAATAAATTCGATTAGGCATGGCCTGCAAGATTCAGTCAAGGTCACATTTCTTCTTTAACTCTGCAGAAACAACAGCTCTAAGAAAGAGATTATATTGCACAGATTCTGGATTTATCTTTGTTGAAAGTTTTTAAACCAATATCACTAATAATTCAGGGACTAGGCTTTGTTCTCTATTTTGTTTCAAAATCTCTAGCAGGTTCTTGTATCACTTTATTGGAAGTGCATAATCTTCTTTAATCTGTCACTATATTTGTTTACTTGGTTTACTTGGGATTCCTCTCCCCCCTTTTATACTGGACATAGAGTTTTCATGCTATATGTGTAGGCAAATAACCAGAACAATATGGATTTATATTATGTTTTATTGTCCCAAAATGACTTTTTGAATGTTTACATGACAACTAGAATATGTTAAATTTTAAATATATAAAACTTAAAGGTTATAGCCCAAAGGAGAATTTCCAATCAGTTTTACTTATTCATAATGTCAAGTATTCATTCACTCATGTATCAATTTTGTGGTTAGAGTTTATATTGATAAATCCTGGTGATGCAAAAGTAATCACGTCACAGCTCCAGATTCTAAGGAATTTTCCCCTTAATACAAGCAATATATGAATACAAGAAAGAAGATTGAAGTATTTGAGATTTATAAATACTATAAGAGAAGAGAAAGGGTTGTGGTAGAGAGAATATACATTTTGTGTTGAGAAATAATGAAACTAAAAAAAACCTGGGAGATCAAGCCATTGTCCTTTTAAAAAACAAGTCTTTGACCATAATCCCTTACTCTAAAATTCCAGTCCAGGCTGAATGGAATTATCCAGGGAAATGACAGCAGGTATAAAACAATTGAGCAGATACCCAAGGGCTTCGCACATCTCTGTGTGCTCCCAGAAACTGCAAATACTTTATCAAATTAATGATAATTAGGAGAATAGATATTTAGACCTAAAAAAAGATAAGTATCTTATTATAGTCTAAGACATTTCCTGTTGGGAATGCTAAAGAATTTGATTTTAAAATTTACAGAATTACGGACCTGAAAGATAGTACAACGTTGCCTGTGGCCATCCTGAGTTTGATTCCCAGAACCACAAGATCCCTGAGCTCCTCTATAAGTGATGGCTGAGTACAGAGTCAGGAGAAAGCTGAGAGTACATGAGGCCCAAAACGCTGGTGATCCCCAACAAAGAATTTATAGAACTAAATCTTTAGCTTCCCGCTCTATGCGGAAAAGGCCTTATTTTAAATCAATGCTTTTCCTTTCAATAAAGCATGTTATTAACTATATTTTATTCTAATAAATAGCACTGTAACACTGTCCTCCCGTTGTTCATTGATTTTGCTCGAGCGGACCCATTGTGAGACTTGTTGTTACTGTGTTTGGCATATCTAATACGTCTCTTGTAGCTTGCAAGGCTTTGCCAAGTGGGCGAGATACTCTTGGTGGCTTGCCAGGCTCTCTGAGAGGGGCAAAGGAATTGAACCCAGCTCAGCTGGGCCGGCCGCACACAAGGCAAACACCCTACCACTGTGCTAGCTTCAGTAGCATCTATACTAAAATTGGAAAGATACAAAGAAGATTAGCATGGCCCTGCGCAAGGATGACACACAGGTTCTAATAAATAGGGCATTAAAAACATCAAAATAACTTAAATAAAATTACATCACTTCTCTATTATGTTTAATTCCCGAGAGCAGGGAATGAGTTAGGAATAAGAAGAAATAAAATATTAATTTCATTGTCTTTTTCAGTGACCTTGTAATTGAATTTCCTTGAACATAATCATTATTCTAACTGCCTCAATTTCTCCTAAAACCCTAATTCCTGGTCTTCTGCACCTGATTCTCCTTTGCAAGGCCTTTTGAACTCTCCATAAGTGGCATTTCTTCCCCCTTTCTATAGAGCTATTGAACTTTTCCATTTAGCTGTTCCATAGTTTTCTGCCCAAAGAACTCCATCTGGTGCATTCTACTGCATAAAACGTTTCTTCTTTAAGTGCAAACTTATTTTATTTGAACTAGTGGAGTGGGTGAACGCTGGAAGCATAGGAGGTTCAGATTAAATTCATTACTCCAGCATCCTCATATTTCACAAAGTAATTTGTATTTATTACTGAGATTAAACATGAGATATTTTCATTTTTACAATAAATTGATTAAACGCCCACTTTATGTAGTGCTTACCTACAAAAAATTCTCATTTGACTTGGTATCATTTCATCCTTCATCAGAAAAAAATAATTTTTTATCTTTTAGTGTATAACTCCTCCTCTTGTTGTTCCCTTCCTTTTCTTTCCAAGGGACTTCTCTGTTGACTAAGCTTGAAATATGAAATTTCTGAATCATCTCTTTGTTTCTGTCCCTATGGTTCTTTAACCGTAAATGATGTTAGTAATTATATTGCATGACTTCACAGATTCATATAAAACATGTGAATATAATGAGCTTCAAATGTTTTCAATATTGAGGGAATTAAAGCAAACATAATGTAAACTATCTGTCTTCATTAATTGATTCTTAAATATTAGTTCTAAGTTGTTTTTAAACTACAGTTAAATGATATCTTTTTAAAATTAAGATTTTAAAAAATCCACAGACTTTGATGAGTCTTGGTGACACTTGGTGAATTTGCTATCCCTTGACAGCTACTTAGAAAACAGTATCTGAATCCTAGTCTTCAAACTGAATTTCTCATCCTAAAATAGCCCACAGGTAAACTGGAGTATTAAGGACAGAAGGTCCTGGACTTCCCAGAAATCAGTCCTTCCTGACTTCCCACCATGCAAGTCAATCTCAGCATGTAACATATGCTTTTCCAGATTCTGACTTAATACATCTTGATTTCCTGGCAAGTTCCTAGTTAAATATAGTCATTCCATCCTCAGTGGGATAGAAAGAAGCCAGACTTTAGAAGCTGCATTTGAACTCAGGCTATGCTATAACAGCTTATGCAATTTCACTTTAGCTTTGATAACAATATAACATCATCTGTAAAATATGAATAAATAAAATAACCATCATGGTTATTAAGAGTAAACTGGTAAGAGTCCATGTCATCCTGACTTGCAATAGAGATCTGATCAATCAGCAGAAATGGCAGTATATTGTAGCAGTTGATGACAGGGCTTATAGTAGAATCAGCAACAACAACAACAGTCATCAAATATGAACTGAAGAAAAAAGGTATAGTAGTACACTTTCCTGTATAGAAACACAAAAAGAATATTTTAGATGAGCCTATATTAAAGAAAAAGAGGTCTCAGAAAGCTTTTCAGAGTTATTATAATCCTTGTCTTAGGAAAATGAGATTATAGATTGGAATTTTCAGATATTTAAGAAGAAAATGTGGAGGAAGCACTGCTTACTAAAGGGAATAGTAATCAATTAGAACAGTGTCCACAGGCAGTTATACTTCAAAGTTCTAAGTGCAACTTTTGTCTTGAACTGCTTAAGTTGAGGACATCAACAACTTGGTAAAGTTGACCTACTAGCACTCACACCTCCCCTCAGGCTATTTTTCTGTCCTTTTGGTAGAGGAGTAAAAGGGACATGGCGGACTTTATCAAATAACAAAAAATATTAAGATAACATTTCAGGTGAGACAAAATGAGAAACTCGAACTCACACTTGAGTGGCATGGAAAACTCATCTATAATAAGGTATAATATTTAGAAGATACCTATTTTGTCCATAACAAAATCCCCTGATACAAAATGCCCAAACTATCAAGTCTACTTGGCTCCTTAGTAAAGTTAGAAAATCCAAGTGATTGTGATGAGTGTAATGACACAAAAACATGCCACATCCTCATCTTCTGCTTTAGGGGATGTATTTTGATATTTAACGTTAACTTGTCATTCCATGATTCCTACTAATTTGGTTTAAAATTTAGAATAACTTGACAAATTTATTGCATATGTATCTCTAGGGCTGGAGCGATAGCACAGTGGTAGGGCATTTGCCTTGCAAGCAGCCAACATGGCCAACCTGAGTTCGATTCCTCCGCCTCTCTCAGAGAGCCCGGCAAGCTACCGAGAGTATCTCGCCCGCACGGCAGAGCCTGGCAAGCTCCCCGTGACGTATTCAATATGCCAAACACAGTAACTTGAAGTCTCATGATGGAGACGTTACTGGGCCCGCTCGAGCAAATCGATGAACAACGGGATGAACGTGACCATGATATATCTCTAGATATGTTTCATTCCTTCCTACAAAAAAACCTGTTTCATGTCTGGGAATATAGTTTAGATGATGGTATCACAAGACTTTATATCTGATGCTCAGCCTTGCCAATTGCTCCCACTCCTAGCACTGCCAGGTGTAGCCCTGGAGCATCTGAGGATTACCAAGTCTGAGCAGCACCACAAGGCTGAGGCCAAGAATTGAACAAATATTTCTGGTTGACTTAGTGTTGACAGAAGTGATTTCAAAGACTCCCTCCTGAACATCGTGTAGGATCTTCCCCACTTCCAAAGTATCTGAACAATACCTAATAGTCAACTAAATCGGAGTTGATGAACTTCAATATCCATATTTATCTAAATCTATGCACATATGATCGTGGAATTTTGGACTGAAAAGTTTATTACCATTGATAAAGATACCAAAGATATTTTATTGTCACGTTTAGCCATCCACTTTGTTCCATTTTAAATGAAACAGAGGATAAAATTCAGTGAAATTTGTTTCTTTAATCTTTTGATTACCCAATACCACTTTTTGAATATTACCTCCATCCTGTTTCACTAAAAAATACAAACCCCAATGTTTCAATATATATAAGCATAATTTGACTATAGTTTCATAGCTCTATTTCAACTCCTATATGATTCTTTGTTTCCCTACTCTCCTTTATAAAATTTATTTTTGCTCAGGGGCTGTAATTAATTTGTGGTGTAGTATGTACTGTTTTTTAGACTTTTATTCAGTTCTGTTCCACCACCACACCTGATTTATTTTATTTAATAAATTCTAAGTTATTCCATACATATACCTTGAGAATCTACTATAATTTCAAATATAGTAAGTAATAAATGACAGTCATACATTTAATCTATTCCTCACACTCCAATTCTGTCTGATTTTAAACCAACTTTGTACTTCTATTCCATGCCCATCGTGTTTTTCTGAGTAGACTTCTCAGAGCATGACTGAGGTTGCTTGATGGTTCTTTTTGATTCCTGAAAACATATTTCTTAGGCTTGCCAAGGACATCAGGGATTCTGTTGGCTAGTAAACAAATATGAAACAAATTAAAAAGCAGGTCAGAGGAGTTGTCATTCTGAGTATTAGCCTCAGAGCAAAAACAACCTCAAACTCAAGCAGAAGTTTTTATTATAACGTGTCTAATCCCAACATGCTACTAGTTTGGAAGCATTTGAACAGAGGAGATAGGCTAACTAAAAAATATTGCTAAATTAATCAAATAACTAACACCAAATTGGATGATTAATAATTGTTTTTCCTTTTCTAACTTACCAAATTTAATTTTATAATATTAAAATTACTGTTGGCTTTATAACTATATCATAAACTCATTCAGAGTTACTTCAGAGTTACTCTCCATAGCTCTTTAATATGTACTAAATTAATAGTACTCAATTTACTTTTAATGATAATTCAGTTTTGTACAATAATATTTTTAAAAAAATTATCTAGTCCAACTACTTCTATCCCCATCCAGCAAAATACTAGTTCTAGATTATAAGCTTTCAGCAGCAGCTACTAGGTAATGACTTTCCCCTAAAACTGAGTGATAAAATAATGAATTATTATGAATTAATATAAATGTGCTTTAATGTTTTAATTGAGGCTAGAGAGATAGTACAGGGTTAAGGCATTTGCCTTGCATGTTGCCCAATTCAGTTTAATATCCAGTATTACATATGGTTTTTTCATTTCATTTCATCATCCTGTTATTCGTCGATTGCCTCGAGCAGGCCCCAGTAACGTCTCTTTCATCCTATCCCTGAGATTATATTCAAGGCTCTTTAGGAGAATGAGACCCATCATTGTTACTGGTATTTGGCATATTTGGTATGCCACGGGGAGTTTGCCAGACTCTGCCCTGTGGGCAGGCTACATTCGATAGCCTGCATGTTTGTCCAAAGTAGGAATGAGACAATATTTGGATAAGAGGTCGCGCGGCCGCGAATGCGGTCACGCGGTTCCGGAATCTGGATTTTATAGTCTCTGAGTCTTGGCCGCTGATGGGATTACACGGCGCCAGGGGGCCAGGTGGTGGGTGTGACCCCCGCCTACTGGAATTTGGAGGATCTGGATGGAAGATGCTCGACTCCAATCCGAGTAGGCTTGGAGGTCTCGGCCCTGGAACCCGCATGGCTTTGTCCCTCTGCCAGTACCATCATGTGTGCGGAGAGTGGTCTCAGCATGGTGGTGGCTGGTCCTGGAGGTCTTCGGCTGCCGGAGCCCTGGTCGGGGCGGGGGGGAAAGCTCAACCCGCTCCCCTCCTAGGGGCCCCAGGAAGGAACACCCAGGCGCGGGGGCAGAAGACTGCACTGTTCTCGTCCGGGATCTGGATTTTATAGTCTCTGAGTCTTGGCCGCTGATGGGATTACACGGCGCCAGGGGGCCAGGTGGTGGGTGTGACCCCCGCCTACTGGAATTTGGAGGATCT